CCCCTCCTAAAACACCCCAAAAAACAATATTATAACAATACCTGAAATTCCGGGCTGTTACAAGATGGTTAAGGTGTTAGTGGGTGTTTTTAGAGGTTGCAAGTTCAAATCTTATTTTAAACATTTATTTTTGTTTTTTTATTTTTGCAGCTCTTTTTATATAGCTTTATACGAATTATACTTATTATATTCTGATGTTCTGAAAATTAAACACAAGTATTCAGTTGTCCAAGTGGTAAAGAGCTGAACTTTTAACTTTGAGGACATTATTTGGAATCTTGGCCCTTACACATGTGTATTTTATTTTGTTTATTAGCTTTTTCAATTTGTTTCTTAAAATTCTAAAATTGTCTCACATCGGCCATAACTTGAAACATAGCTCCTATACATATATTATATAAGCAACACAAGCTTCTCAATTCTCAGTAAGTTAAACTTTCAAATGGGTTTAGGTTTAAAACTGAAACCGAGTTTGGAAAATCGAGAAACCAAACCCATCAGTTTGGGATACCCCTTTACTTTGACCGTGGCTCCGCACTGATGTTAATAAAGTATCTTGAAGTGGTTTAAATGATGTATTTATTGTAAGGAGCTTCATGTTTGTCTATATGAACCATATGTTAAGAAAATGCTCTTAGGACTACATTAAAATGCCTAAATGGGTTGGAAAATTATAATGGAAACATTTAGAAAATGATTCTTACTAAAATTATATTATGTTTGACCTTAGGAACATAAGATGTAAATGTTGGAAATTAACGGATAAGTCGTTTGGGGGTGGGAGGGGTAGAACTCGAGATTTCTATAAGGAAATACGCAAAATCATAGCTCTTGTAATTTTGGACCATGCCCCTATGGCCGAGAACTTTAGCCTTATGGTTGGTCCTTGAATCCCTACGGTTGGTTGTTGTAAGATAGGTCTAAGTATTTAGGAAGCTTATTTCTTAGGGCATTATCTTTGTATTACTTCTTACACCTTAAATATGTGAAAGATATCCTTAGAATGGGAAGATCACTATTAAGCTTCTTTTGAATGGACATTAACATATTCGATCAAATAACCATCATCAAGTAATGATGTCTTTCTATCGTGATAAAGTAAGTATGCAATGTGAAGTTGGGGATTGTAACTCTTGGTAGAACCATAAATTTAATGATTTCTTTCTATGGTGATAAAGCAAGTATGCAATGTGAAGTTGGGGATTTTAACTCTTGGTAGAACCATAAATTGATGTATACAAGTGGAATTAATTGTAGCTCCATGTTTAATTTTACTTGATTATGACTAATATAAATTAATTTCATCACATGTCAGATGAGGGGGTGAAACTTAGAAACTAGTTATTACCAATTTACCATTATTGAGGGGGTGGTTAAAAGTGGCCAAGTTTTGCTAATCAATGGTTCCAATGGATGTGTTATGATATGATGAAGCATAGTAATTAAGTTCATGGATTCTATAAGATGTGCCAAATCCATGATAGTCATATATGTGACATGAATCTTTAAATGGAAATTGAAGCTTAGGTGGTAATTGAATGTTGTGGTGGTTATTAATTGGATCAGTTAACGCCATGTGATATAACCTAGTCTAAATAAAGAAGTATTTAATGTGGAGTTCGGTAATATGTCTCATAAGAGACTTGAACCCATGACTTATTATTTGAGATGATCACTCATTACCGTTAGGTCAAAGACCTTTTGGTGGAAAAAATGTAATATTTAGTCTTGAGCATACATACTTTTTCGGATAATATCTAACCAAGGTCAAAGAAGGTTAAAGAAAAGTCATATACCTTTTTTTTAACTTGCGAAATCTAATATACTTTTAAAGTACTTTAATTTCTTTTATGTCTAAGAGTGGACTTAAACCTATAAAGTGAAGACAAAAGGTGATATGTATGGCTCCTCTTTGGTAAAATAACATACGTAACTCAAACTCTTGAAAGGTCAACATCTCAGTTAAACTCTTAACATTTTTTAAATCCAACATTTTCAAATAAATGTTTCAACCTATTAATAACTAACAAGTTGGGTTTAGCGTACTTGGCTAACAATGAGACATTTAAACTGACAACTAACTAGGAGATCCTGGGTTCAATCCTGGGAGAGGATAAAAAAATATTATTTGTTGTTCAAAAAAAACCTATTTATAACTATTCAATTACAATTAAAGAAAAATTGCAACAAAAGTCAAAAGATTTATCCCCAACTCAAGGGATTTACTCTGATCTTTCCACATATAATTAAAAGTCATTAGAACAATATGTAACTGAAAATCAATCAAATGAAAATTTAATATATTTATTTAAAACAATTGTTGTTGAAATTTAAAATAAAAATGTGATGGAGAAGAAGCGTCTGTACAGTGGGACAAAAAGTACCTTTTCTAGCACTATGTTATTTTTATAGAATTTGACATCATCGTTTTTAATTTTCTAGTGTTTCAAAAGTCTTGTATACTTCGTATAATTTGAATAGGTTTGGAGTTATTAATTTAAACTAGTTTATGTTCAAACTTTAAATATTAAGAGGTCATGGAATATAGTCGAGACACAAAAAAAGACTTAGTGGTATTATAATTAAATATTTGGGTTTAACTTCTTAATTTTTAATTTATGAGAGGTTGATTGAACTTCAATAACAACTAAATTAAATATCCTGACGTCAGTAAAGAATCTAATAGAGGCACGCTTCACGCCAAAAGCATCTTCTTTTTTTCATACACCAGCAAGAGCTACATCCAAATCCAATATATAATTTCAAATTAAAAGATTAAATATTGAATAAATAATTTTTGGCAAAATGTTAGAATATACCACGTTACTTGACAAATTATATATAAGCGCACACACTATAAACAATAAAACAAAATATCAGAGTTATTTTGTCTATAGTTCTAATTGGCTAAAAAATTTAAAGTGGTTAGGGTAATAAAACAAAACTATTATACTTTGATTTTTTTTTCATTAAACCAGTATATTTTATTTCGATAATTCAGTCATAGAAGTCATCATTTTTTAAAAGAATTTTTCATTACGACCGTGTGACCTTTTATTGTTCTCATTTATCAATATGGCATTATATTTACTCTATGATAAAATGCATTTTTTTTTCTTGAAATGGTTTTTTATTTGTTTAGTAGGTTATACACATATCATGTAGGTACATAAGATGTCCTTTTTGAAAGTTAGGTGCTATTTGAGGAACTATTTATGATGTCATGTAGATTAATGATAAATCATAGTGGTCGCAATTTTTTTTTAAATATAAAAGTTAGAACCACATAAAAAAAATGTTTATATAATATGTTTTATGTATACTGCCCAGTTTGTTATTAAATGTTAATGAATGGTTATATGCTTTTATAATTGATTTTTAGGTAAGAGGTTTATTGTGTGATAAGTAATCACCAATTTTAAGTAATATTTAGCGATGATCTGCCAAGTGGTAGCTCTTCAAACACTTGAGGTTGTCGGAACGGTTTAATATAAAAGGGTCTTCTTGTTAAGTTAGAAAGCATATTAGTTGGGATATATCTACTCTTGTTAAGAGGTATATTTATGTTTTGAATAACCAAACATGTCTATAAAGAAGGAGCATGCATGAGAGAGCTTTTCCCCATAAAACAAAGGTTATGACTTATGAGAGGTCTCCATTCCTAAATCCTAACTAACATCTTTCACAATTAATACAAATAGCTATATGTGGGATTTATTCAGTTTAATGAAAATACTTGGGTCAAAAGTCATGTAATATAATACTTAATACATAATTATTAATTTTTTTTTTTTTTTTTAAAATAAGAGGGTGTAATCACACACCATTGTTTACATTGAGTTCCGCTCAACACCTTACGGGCATGTTTGGTAAAAGTAGCTGTTAGCTGGAAGCGGGTAGCAGTTAGCTGGTAGCGTGTAGCTAGTAGCTGGTAGCGGGAAGCTGTAGCTTTTATTTGTTATATGAATGTTTGGTAAAAGTAGCTGGAAACTTTTGAAATATATAAAATTACATAAAAGGACAATTTATTAAAAATAAAAAAATATATAAATATATTTTTAAGGGTAATTATGGAAATTGATTTCAAAAGCTTCGGAGCGTTTTGTTAAAAGCTACATGAAGTAGCTTTTAGAATCGGAGCGTTTTGTTAAAACTAAAAGTCAAACGCTCGTACTACCAAACGAAGCTTTTTGTTTAAACTAGAGCGTTTTGTCAAAAGCTAAAAGCTAGAAACTTCCAAACGCTTTCAAAAGCTCTGTGCCAAACACGCCCTACAAGTAATGTTATAAACGAAGAGCAAAACATATGGTTATTTGTGATGTTTTTAAAAAAATGGTCGTTTAGTATCGATACTATTTAACCACTCCAATTTTTGTCAATTCTACACCAAGATTAATGACTTCAAAAATAATATATTTTATTTAGTAGTCACATTTAACCAACAATATTATTTTTCGTAAACAATTTATCATTAAATTTGTTTCACATATTAAAAAAATATAATATTACCTAAAACATACAAAACAAGTTCACTGATAAAATATTCACTAGAAAAACATTGTTGTCTAAATATAAACTAAAAAAAATATATTACTCTTCTAAAACATTAACCCGTCAACCCTAAAACAATAATGCATTTTAAGACAACTTTATTGATAGGATGAAATGAAAGCATTTCGTGTATTTTTGGCTACACCTTAAACCTTTTTTGCACAAACAAAAAAGGGAAATCTACGAAAAAGTCTCAATATTTTAAGCCAGTTTACGATTTAGTCCCAAATTAAATTTTGTTTACAAAAAAGGACAGATTACCGACTAAAACTTCGAATTAACCCTTCGTGGCCGGTTTCACAGATTTAGTCGGTAATCTATCCTTTTTTGTAAACAAAATTTAATTTGGGACTAAATCGTAAACTGACCTAAAATATTAGGACTTTTTCGCAGATTTCCCAACAAAAAATCATAAACGTAATCAATTATATTCCACTTTTTTTTAGTTACGACAATTATAATTTTTATTTTCCACTGATAACCATCTTACCAAACGAGTTTAGCAATAAAAAGAAGTTGAAAAAAAAGTGGATAAATTTATGCCACAAACGTCAAAAAGTGATTAAAAACGACCAAAACTCGAGTAAGAGTCATTGCTTTGTTTAAGCAACAAATACCTCACAACAATACTTGTACAATATGCACAACAACTTGTAACCAAAAAAAAACAAAGAAACCAAAAAAACAAACAAGATATCCAACTCTTGTTCCCATCATCTCTGTCGCTCTCCACACTCAACCAAACCAACCAACCAACCCACCTAGGGTCTCATTGCATGACACATGTCACGCTGAAAAAATGAATATGCATCATCGTCTATCTTTATATGTCAGCAGCAAAGAATGGGCAACAAACACATTTCCTTTCTAACCAAACCAAACCAAACCAAACCACAAGAACAAGAACAACTTAACTATTCAGTCGTTTTGTATTCTTTGCTTTGCTTTGCTTTGCTATGATGTGAGGACTGATTGTAATGCAAGTTGCTGCTGTGGCTGCAAGCTTGACCATGTTGACGCAAATGTCGCAGGTGGCAGCGTCTGCTGAAGCTGTCTCAGCAGGTTCACTATCCGGTTTATAGTTTGCTCTGTTGCAAGATCCTTCCCTCCACAAATAATCTATTCATTCATAAACCAAAATTAGTAAGCATGTGAAATCACAACTTTGCCCTCCATTCATTTTCTTTTAAAAAAAAAAAAAACAACAACTAACCTCAGCAAATACAGAAACAATTTTAGGGAGATACTGGTTGTTCGGGCCTAGAAGTACCGTGTCTGACCTGTAATAGTATAAAAAAAAACAAATTAGATAAAAATTAAAACAAATCAAAGTAAGTTGCTATATATGTTATATATACCTTTCAACCATTGAACATAGCAGCTCGTGAACAACTTTGGCTTCGATGAGATCTCCTTTGATTGGCAAACAGCTTAACCATGCAGGAATAACCTGAGCAGGTTTTAAGTTTTAACATTACATATGTATTTTATTGACAACAAAAAATAAATTATATTATTATCACATTTCCTAAAAGTACCTGAGCTGAGTCGATACTATCGCGATGAAAATGGCAAATTTTCCCCAAAGCAGAAACTGCATTATCATATGCCATCACATTCTCGGGATGAACAGCATTAGGGTGTCTTATTACAACATTTAGCCTTGAAAGAGCCTCTGAGAAAATAATACAAAACTTTTAAGTAAATAAAACATGCAAAAGATTATTATATTTAATGTACCTCCAACAAGTGGTTTTATAACAGATCCACCATACTCTGCACACACTCCAAGTCCATATACAGCTGCCTGGAAAATAAAAATAAAAAAAATATACGGTTTAGTTTATAAGAAAACAAGAACATGCAAAATCTGAATCGGTATTTTGATAATCATGCTGACCTGGCGGACATCTGGACTCTCGTCGTTGCAAGCTTCTAGAAGGAAAGGAAGATAGGTATCGTAATACCTTTTCAGATATAAAAACAACATAAGATATATTAAAAAAAAGATTATTAGATAGATGCGATAAAGTAGAAAAATGGATAAGTTTTTATACTTTAGAGCTGCTTCACGACACTGTTCAGCCACATCATCAAAGATGCAAATAGCAATCCTTCTTTCCTCAGCTGTTTTGTCCTTGCCCTTGTGTTATTAATAAAAGCGGGAGTCGTTATTTATTTATTTAAAAAACAAATAGAGCTTAATTAAGTGAATAAAAAAGTTCCGAAATTAAAAACTTACCCACATAGGCATCAAATATGATGACATCTCATCAAAGAAAGGCAAGAAGGAGGCTTTAAATGTTTTTATCAAAGTTCCCAAGATTTCACCAATCTGTAGCACCAGAGAATTACAAAGGCACAAATACATCGGTTTTATTAATATTACAAGACATGATAATAGTTATTTTATTTGGGGCTAAATGCAAGAAATAATAATGTAGTTGGGTAAATTTTTCAAAGTAGGTTGATATTTCTTGCATTTAACACTTTTATTAAATAATAAATATAGGAAAAAGGGTTGTTGAGAAACAAACTTGATCAAAGACTTCTTCTTCTTGCTCATTTTCCTCTTTAAGCAATTCTCCTTCCTCAGCATCAAAATCTTCAGCTTTGGCCCTCTCTGCTCTTTCTGTTTTTCTGCTTGAGCTGGCTGTGATCACCTGTTTTATCTCATCCACAATGCTTCTCACCTGGTTTTCATCTAGAAGTGTTCCAGATACCTGAATCCATGGTCAAAGTCAAACACACAGTCAAAACATGTTCAACATCCTAAAATAAAAATAAAAAAACATAAAAATGCCATTCAACCTGTATACACTCGTTTAAAGCATCCAGCATACTTGCACAGATTTCCGTATCAGGTTCCTGAAACAGCATAATTGAGACAATTCAGTAAACCCTAAACCACTTTGAATGAATTATTTTATAAAAAAAGGAAAATTAAGATTACCTTATGTAAAGCTTCAACCAAAGCAGGAACTATGTAGTCAGAGAGCTGCTTTATATAAGATTCATTACGACCTTGAGCAAGCCCTTTCTCTATTGCTAACTTTGCAGACCTCAATAATTCAGGCATGGCTAGAATAAAAATATATATATATATAAATCCCATAAGAAACTTATGTATGTCTAATCATTAAATAATATATAAAAAGTGAAAAAAGATCAGAAATAAAACCTGAAACAGCAGCTTTCCTAACTTCTTCATGAAAGTAAAATTTGAGAAGTGGGACCAAGGTTGGTGCAACCTGATATTAATATAATTATATAAATTAGCAACTGGTTGTAAAGTGTAATGCAACAAATAAAACAATAAAATATAAAAGGTTACGAAAGAAAAAAAGTCAAAAACCTGGTCAATCCATGGATAGAAACCCTCCTTCAACTCATCTGCATAACAACACAACATGTTGCAAGCTGTAGCTTTTTCTTCTAGAACACTTGTCTTGATGCCTATTCTTTTATCACCAAGTGTGATTGTCTCCATACTGCAAGACATTCATTCAATAAACATTTTTTTTATTATCTTTCCGGGTTTGATTGCATTTATCATTATTTGAATTGGGTTTTTTTTAAGGCAAAAATAATGCCATTTTGTTATAAAATAATACCTTTCATCATCTGATTCATCAAGTTCATTATCTGAAGCTGCTGAGGTAATGATGACATCAGGTTTGAGTTGAGCAGAAAGAAGTAAAGGAGGCATAACAACACTCATGTAAGGAAGGAAATCCTGCCCTAAACACTTGCATAGCCTGGCCCACGCCTGTGACAAAAAAGGTCAAAGAGAAAAATCTTATAAGAAACTATAAATCACCATGAGTGTACTTTAAAATCTAAAAAATAAATAAATAAATAACACCTACTTGAAGCATGTAACTGGTGGTGGGATCATCGGTCTCCATTTGAGATCCTTGTAAGGACATAAGCACTTCCATCACCTTAACAAACAATCAAAATCCATTACAATTATTTAACATATAAAAAGTATCAAGAATGAAAAAATAAAAAAGGGAAAAAAAAATGAAAGCATACCTGTTTAGCATCATCTCTGAATTTTTCCTTTCCAACAGCCATTCCAACCAAACTAATGCATTCCATGGCTTTGGCTCTAAGCATGCGATTAGCTTTATCATTTGCATTCACTAAGATAGCTTTCAAGTAAGGCATAACTGCATCATAGTACTTTTGGAAGTGTTCCTATTGATGCACCAAGTATATAATGAGACATTGAATGTAAAGTTCTAATTCTAATGCTAGAAATTTAAGAGTTGATAATGTGGAGTAACCTGTGATGAATCAGCAACTGATGCTAGAGCAGTCAAGGCCCCTTCTTGTACCATTTGTTTACCATTCTGCAATTAAAACCATCATTAATGCAAATTAAAAACTATAAAAAAAAATATACAACACATATAATTTGTCATCAAATTACCTGTAACAACACAAGCAGTTTGCTCACTATTCCATCTAGGTAAGGCGTCAAGATATCAGGAGTACAGTTCTCACTGAAATTTAACACTGCTGAAGCAGCATGTGCCTAAGAAGAAAATAGATGAAAAAAAACAAGTGAAATCCTCCCTTCTTTAATGTGCATAAAGATGCATTCATGGAATAATCATATTTAACTAAGCTGAGCCTATTAATTAAGGATGAGTTTGTTGCTGGATGAACAGTATTTATTCAAACTAGTCTAGTAAGAATTAAGAAAGCTACATAAGAATTTGATAAAGTTTCAAAAACTACCTTGATGCTACTATAACTAACAGAAGACCAACATGTGTGGATAAATAACACTACTAACCTGAACTCTTGGATTATTGAAATCATCCATGGCATTAGCAAGAGCTGGCAGCACTCGTTGATGGTATTGAACTTGCAAGTCTGGGCCTAAATCTGTGGCCAATTGCCCGATTGCATTAATTGCAGCCCATCTCACACGTGGGTGAGGATCTTGGAATGAATTTAAAACCATGGACACCACTTGTTCCAAATTCTTGATCATTACCTGCATTAGCAAATCCATTCAAACCATCAAAAGCCGCATACAATCAAAATTAAAGTAACAACTACTTGCATGACATAACATTATAACAAGCACAAACAAAATGCAAAGAAATAATAAGTCTGAAAAGGTACATATCTAGGCAAACTAATTCAATCATTAAAATGCACTTGTTCGCATATTAAACAAATGATGTGTTGAACGATCAAACTTGACCAAAAGTGATATAACAAATTCCAAAAATATTGCTACCTTTGAGCATCCCTCAGCTATCTGTGCAAGAGCGATGAGTGCAGCATGATGTTTCTGCCACTCAGGGGCAGCCAAGTAAGCCGGCAACTGCTCTGATGCAACAGGGACAATGGTATTCCCACCTAGAGCAATAGCCAACCGATCCAAGCACTCCTGCCCAACACTGTAATTACTTGACTCTCCTGCATCTTCGTCCTCATTTTCAGCAGTATGCCATGCAGGTTCATCCTCGACATCCAACAGCATCTGCAACAAAATGCAGAACAACCTGCTGATAAACTGTGGCAACTTCCTCATCATACCAGGTGCCCTCTCTCTGGCCTCTGCTAGCGTGATCACAAACTCAATGGCTAGGTGTCGTGTTCCCTCTTCTAGTGTCTCTGCCTCAGCTATCTGCAACATAGACCCCACCACCTCCACTAACTGCCTCCTCAAGAACCTAGGCTCAGTCCCTGCCAACTCAATTAACAATTCCAATGCCTCTTGAGCAGTAGCCTCTTGTCCACCATTCAAAGCTTCAGTCAACGTCGTCATCATCGCTGGAAGCAAATCCTGGAACCGATCTCTATCACCGGAACTCGACAAACACTGAATAAAATTAATTACAGCACTCAAAGCAGCAATCCTCACGTCTGAACTCCCCGACGTAGTCAGGCACTGCAAAAACACTCCATGAAGATGCTTTATGTGTGGAATTAAAGTCTCCCCAATGTATTGTGACAACTGCGCAAATATCAAGAACGCAGATTCTTGAAGCTTGGGAGAATCGGAAGAAACGCACTGAAACATAAACGGCAACAGTTCCGGCCAACCGTTATCAGGCAGGATACTCGAAGCCAATTCCGAGATCGTATCGCATAACTTCTTCATTATCGTCTTCGCTTCTTCTTGTTGCACACAAGCCAAAAGAATAGATTTAAGTGAAACCTGAGTCGTCGGAGATAACCGATTCCATACCAATGAATCATCCTGAGTCAACTGCTTCCGTAACAGAATTGCTGACATGGCACGAGCTTCCATGTGAGGAGATAGTTGAAGCAGATGCCCGAGTTTGAGAAACAGCGAGTTCGGATCAGTTTGTTTGCATAGATTGAATATAAGTTCTGCTTGCGATCGTTGCTCGTTCGATGAAGACATCAGGTGAGATATTAGGGTTTCGAACGGCGCCGGATCGGCCCCCAGTATCGCCGCCAGTTGTGCTTGTTGAACCTGAGGATCCATTGCCGCAGAAGTAATCGCCGGTAGTGATTGATGGTGCCGATGCGATTACCGGTGGCTTTGACGATGACGGAGTGGAGAAAATGGGGTGCGTGTTTGGATTTGGGCGGAAGACTAATTAGGGCAAAGGGGCATAGATGGAGTAGTGGTAGTAGGGGTAAAAAGGGTAACAGCAATTCTTTATGCTCGAATATTAGAGGGAAATTAATTGCGGGATTTAGATTCAAAACTGGTCCCTATAATATTTTCCAACACGCAAACCAAGTCCTCTATCTTTTATTCTCTTGTTACCATAAAAAGTTATAAGTTTCATTTAAGGCCAAGGGGTGTGGGCTATCGCATCACTTTTTTTCTTTAACGGCGATGTTAGTATTTGTTTGGAATTGAACTTAGGAACTTCTAGTTAGAAACTTTTAGTTAGACACCTTGTTAGACAAGTAGTTAATTCCAACTTATATCACATTTCCTGATATCATTTTTTTGTCAACTCATCGTCATATTATTTTTCCTTACACTTCTCATATCATCCCCCTCACTGCTAAAAAAACATGGCCAAATATCACTCCCCTCAAAATGTGCAGCAATTGGATGTATTATACGATAATGTGAAGCTGAAAAAAAAAAAGATGTAGTGGATTGGCTTCTTATAAAGGGTTCACCACACACCACTGGATATGATGTTTCATCCACCATCTATATCATTCCACAACATGCTGCTAAAAGTATTTATCATTTTGAAAAAAAAGTAGGATTATTATTTTAAAAATCATTCAAAGTACTAGAAGTATATATAAGTGGTAGTGGTTTATGAAATAATTTAAAAAAAAAAAAACAAAAACAAAAAAAAAAAGAAAAAAAACTCTAATTTTTTAAAATGTAAATCAATAATTAAATAATATGTTTGAAAATGTATATAAATCATCTAAGTTATATTTACGTATTTTAATAAGAAAATAATATGAATTTATAACAATTCATATTTGATATAGATTTTTTTCTTATATAGTCAATCTAATAGTGTTGGAATATAATATTGGAAGGTTAAGAATGTGCTTAGAGATAAGAAAAAGGTTAGAAATGAAAGATATGATAGTGAAGGGAACAATGTGTAATTATTGATGATTGAGTGGGATTTGACAACAAGAGCTCGTGGCAAATCCTTTTGAACTTTTTATGGCTTCAAGAAAACAAATGAACCATAGGCCCAAAAAAAGGGATCACGGAAATTTTATTCAGTACCTTTCTACACTAATCGTGATTAGAGACACATAAATACTGATTTTTATGATTTAGAAAGGTTTTTTTCATAGTTATTTACATAAAAATAAAATAGTTTTTTTTCTTTTATAGTACTTTCATAAAACATAAGTTAGAATTACAAGTGCCAAATGTTGAATAGAGAATATCGAAATCAGCTCAAATTAAAACATATAATATCGTTTAAGATGTATATATATATATATATATATATATATATATATATATATATATATATATATATATATATATATATATATATATATATATATATATATTATATATATATATATATATATATACCATGGTTGCAACATAAGTTAGAATTACAAGTGCCAAATGTTGAATAGAGAATATCGAAATCAGCTCAAATTAAAACATATAATATCGTTTAAGATGTATATATATATATATATATATATATATATATATATATATATATATATATATATATATATATATATATATATATATATATATATATATATATATATATATATATATATATACCATGGTTGCAAAAATCAGGATTAATCGGCGATTAATCGCTTGGCGTTCTCCAACCGTCGAGGATTAGGGAATTAATCGGAAATTTATGATTAATCGGGTTTGGCGGGATTAATTGGCCTTGGTGGGATTAATCAGTCAACAAAAGTCAAAAAAGTCCAAAAAAATTGAAAAAAAGTCAAAAAAAAGGTCAAAAAAAAATAATTTTTTTTAAAAAAAATTCAAAAAACCAACTTTCTTTTTTTACTCCTAAACTTTCAAATTTTCAAATATTATACCAAAATGTTCATATTTTCGTATTTCCAAACTTCAAATTACAATTTTTCTTATTTTCTAATTTTGAAGTACTCATTTGTCTTAAGATATATTAATATTTAATTAATTTTAATATTTTATTAATAATTTATGCTCCCCAATTAATTCTCGATTAATCTCCGCCAAGACCGATTAATCCCTTAACACCAGTCGACCGTCGAACTACCGTCAAGTGATTTTTACAACCTTGATATATATATATATATATATATATATATATATATATATATATATATATATATATATATATATATATATATATACTAGCCGTCTACCCACGCAAAGCGGCGGGCGGCAAATAATTTGATTTCTTTAGAGTTAAAACCATTTTGCATTCACTTCGAGAAATGAATATTAAATGACATCTATTTTTCAAGAGCATTACCATATCATATTAACGGGGTGTTTGGCTAAACTTTTTTAAAACAACTTATTAGGTTCCACATCACTATAAGTTAAAAAAATGTTTGGATTAAAATAACTTATTCCAGTTGAGAACCTCTAATACGTCATTTTTTCATAAGTTACCCTACACTTACTTATTAACTTATAAGCTAATAAACTAATAAGCAATAAGTTTTTTTGCCAGACACCCCCTAAATGGTTATTACTTCCATTTATACATACCCAAACCACTTGTACTGTTTATCGTCCTCTTTTTTTTCGTTTTTCTTAATTCCTTTATTAATTTAATGTCTTACTAAGTAAAATGCTAAAATATATAAATAATAGTTTATAAAATAAATCTTTAGAATATCAGGTGTTGTGATTCAAAAATAAGCCTTTGAGAAGGCAAAAATACTCAGGTGTCAACTTGTTCATTGTGATTTTAAACCAAGTTTGGTCACAAATTAAAACATTTTCAACGATGTTATGTAATTCAAGGATTCATATTGATTTAGGTTCTCGAAACCTTAAAATATTAAACAAAATCTATATAGAACCTTATAATAAGAACAATAATCATTGTAATCAGGAAGTCCACGTGATGAAACTTGATATTATAAGGACCAATGATGAAAAAGGTTTCATTTTTAGACTAAACAAGATGAAAAATATACAAACTACCTTAATCATGTCAAATCTTGTGTTTAACCGTTCTTTATTGCAAAAATAAGATGTCAAAATATACAAACTAATGATAATACAATGCTCTAACTGACCCTCTTGGTTGAGTTCTTTGAACCTGCAAAGCCAACACATTAAAAAAATATAGTAAAAACCTTTTTAGGAACAAACCTTATATAATAAAGCCTTCATCTAATATATTTATAAGATAAAAATACAAAAAGTTAAAAATGATGAAATCAATTACAAGTAAGGATTAAAATAAAAACATGTTAAGAAATAGTCATCTACAGGAGGGATATTTGAATCAACATGTATTTTCTGATGGTTTTAAATTTTGAATTATCCGAATTCAGGGAAGGGGATATAATTTGTTGAGAAATATAAGGATTCAAAACACATGTTAAAATTTAATATTATTTTATTGATGACTACTTGTACTATTAGCTTAATGATTTGAACATCTTAAAAAAATATTATTATTATATTCAATCTATTTTTAGAAATAGTGAGATTTCTTTTATAAGATAGAATATATATATATATATATATATATATATATATATATATATATATATATACACTAACCGTTTACCCGTGTCAAGTGACGGGTGTGAATATTTTTTCATAAATTAATTTATAGAGTCGATTAGTTCCTTTAAACAAATAGTTTAAAGCATCTAAACAATTAACAATAAAAGTAATGATAACAAAAATGAAATCAATAAGAATTAAAAATAAAATTTTGAGATTCTTTACAAATTTACACAAATATATGATTGATTGTTCGTTATCAATCGTGCATTATTTCTTTATACATCATATTTGATATATAAAATTTACTGTCGTTGAGTTATTCGTTATTGAATTATTCGTAAGGGTTTAATCATTTGCGGTTCCCTTTTGTATAAGGTTTAGACAGATACTCCAATTTCATAATCTATAATCCCCAATTTATACTCAATCTCTGATATTAATTTTCACACACACTACCACCGGTTGAATTTACTTTTTATTAAGACACTTATATGAAAAAAAAAGTGTGTGATAGGGTTGAGGGAACAAATTGCATCATACGACTTTAATTCTACTCTAACATCACCAAATTGGTCGAAATCGTAAAACATCATTCGATAAAAGCTTAACTTTTAACTTAGACCCCCAAAAAAATCAAAACGTTATCTACAATCACGTATTAACACACAACTCTAAGCAACTTAGTTAACAAACAAAAATATCACAATCTGTTGCTTTCCTGATACCGGAGGAACTCAATACAATATCAAATCCAAACATATATTCATAAAAACTTTAAATGAATTAAAGTCATGTGAAATTGTAAATAAAATAAATTCATGAGAAAGATATGATGACAGAACTTCCAACAACTTTACCAAGAATGTCTTCAAGATAATTTTCTTCACCATGGCTTAGCCTAGTAACAAAGAACCAACATCACCCATAAACAAAATACTTTAATGTAAGCTATTTGTGGCATTTAGCACTTTTTAAAATTAAAAGTAATTTTGCTAACATCCAATAGTATTATACTTATAAATCTTTTTTCTTATATAAAGAATGCACTTTTATACCCACAATAACAATACACATTTTACCCCTAAAAAAAGAAAAGGGCTAACTATTGAAAATACCAAAAATAAATAAATAAATAAATAAAGTATACTCCATACCTATTTTAGTAATACACTTTACATTTCAATATTTAAAAGATTCCCGTTTGTTTACCTTGTTGTCCTTTATGAGCACAACTTAACTTTTGCTATAATCAAATATGCATACACTACACATAAATTACAATTAAATAAGCTTATTATACCATCGTTTAAGATAAATAAAAAAAGAAGATTACTCACTAATAATAAGAAGCTTTAATGGATGTGAAGCCTTTTTTTGTCCTCTTCCCCTCCCCAGTGATAGAATCCAACCCATGCACCTTTTACTTCGCCTCATGTAGCATCAAGAAAGTCACAATAATTGTATTGTATAAATATATGTAG